AGATTTGCCTAATTTAATACGTCGTTTGATTTCTTACCTGCTGCTTCCGTGAGTGTTGCTAGTTGATCCAAGAAGAATGAAGTCCTTGACAACTTCAATCTCTTTCTGTTGATAAGAACGTTGTTTATTGGTCCAGTGGTGAGGATTTTTGTTTTCTTTACATTGAGATGTAATTTATACCGAAGACTATGCTCTTTGATCTTTTATCAGTGAATGCATAGATTTAGCAAATATGTTTAAAAACAGTTTCTCAACTTATAATATTGACAGGATATGTTAATATATTTGATGAATGCTATTTGTCCTTTTTTTAGTACTTCTGGTGTGGTGCTGTAGGACCAACACTGGGAACCACAAAGTTGGCAGTTCAAACCCACCAACTGCTCCTTGGAAACAAACTTGGACTTCTTATACATGGTCACTATGAATTGGGACTGACTCAATGGCACTAAACAGCAACAACATTTATCCTTTCAGGAATGTTTGGAATTTTTAAAAAATAAACATAAATATAAACAAATAAAATACAGTTTTTTTGTTACTGTGAGTCAGATAAATCTGGTTTTAACTCTGACTCTATCCTTTACTAGCAGTCCTAGTGTGGATATGTAGGATAAGCACTGGACTGCTAACACAAGATTGGCAGTTCAAACCCACCAGTCGCCCCTGAGAAACCCTATACTGGAATGCTGTGATTTGGATTCTACTCAACAGTACTTAAAAAAACAATATCCCCTACTAATTCTGCAACTTTGAATAACTTTATTATAGTCTTAGTGCTTTGATTTTACCATCTGTAAAATAGTGCTATCAATACCTGCTTTAGTAGGTTATTATGAGTTAATGAGACAAAGTTGGTAAAGTTTCTTATATTTTCAGTACCTGAAACACACTCAAGAGATGTGTGGAGAAAGTTATTATGAATGGATTTATTTTCATAATTTTTTTTAAATTTTGTTTCTGATATTTATTTTAATTTTGTTATTTCTCTTTCTCCCAATTACTTTGTTCTATCCCAACAGTTGGACAACATACATGTTCTTCAGCATTTTGAGCCTCTGGAGTGTATGTATTATTTTGTAGTATTCAGTAGTATATGAAGCAGGTAGAATTTTGCATTACCCAATATCTTTTTCTTTTTTTTTTTTTTCCACAAATAACATCTTTTATTTGTCATCAGCAAAAGTTTGAATTTTAAACAGATTCTTGAACTGGTGGTTCATAGTCATCAGTTTGTTCAACTTTAGCACCCATCTCACCTCCAATAGCTTTTCCAGAACTACTGCCTTCAACATGAAGCTCCATGAGTTTTCCCAACTCAAACTTGGGCTTCTTCAGCATTTTTACTTTCCTAACAAACACATCATGGAGAGGGTAAATAGGCTGTTGGGAATCAATTTATTGACCCCTTCTTTCAAGTCATTTGTCTGTACCATTCGGGTCATGATTTCCATCATTTTCTTCTGAATTTGATGGACCTGTTGGTGCTGAGCATAAGATGTCTTCCGAATCTGGTTGTTGCATTTTTTAGTAAAACCAACACAGAACAGGCGAAGCAAATAACCATCTGTAGTCTTTACATGAACATGAGCTTCAATCATGGTCTGCCATTTTTGACCATAAGCACATTTTGTCATGGGTAAGATCCATGCCATGAAAGTTGGTCAAGCAGTTTTGCCCTGAACATCCTCAGTAATTAGCTTGAATTTTCTAAATGCAACTTCATCATTCTGCAGATCAGTAAGACTCACTTCAAAAACCTTTGAGTCCATCAGATGCAATTGTGGTTCCTTGAGTCTTTGTGACTGTTGTTTTCCCAATATTTCTTATATTAAATATAGCTGGTACTTTCACATCATACCAATCTTTCTTAGAAAATGGATCAACCACTTTCTTCTTGGCTCCTTTTTTGCCACCATTTGTAAGACACTTGTTCTTGCTGACCACCATGGTGCTGCTCAGAGAGCCAAAAGGGCTACCCAGTATCTTTTTATATTGAATAATTTTTTAGTGATTCAGGAGAAAAGTCTGTCTTCTATTATTTTCAAGAAAGTAATAAATGGAATTATTTATGCATAATTTTATCTATTTATACATTAAATACTTTTAATTTTTTAGACATGCAAATGTCCTTATTTATTATCCACACAGTGCCTTGCTCTTTGCACATTCCCTCTCCTCCACACTCATCTTTTATAGATGAGGAAAAGGCTACAGGAGATTGAGTGAGGGAGTAGGGACACCCGAGTCAGCTAGTCAGTGGTAGAGCTGGATCTAGTAGGTAGCATTGAACTCCTGTCCAATGCTTTTTCTCTGGAAGTTAAAAGAAATGAGCCCAGAAAATATTAAGCCTGTTCTCTTTTCATCACTATGAGAGTACTGGCCCTCACTGCACCAGCTATACACATTTGTTTGGCCACCACATTGGACATTTACTTTGTCTTGGTTCCTTTTTCTATTTGCAATTCTTAATGGCACTGATCCTCTTAGCATATTTTTTGAGTAAGTTAATTGATTGTCTAGTGTGTAATTTGATTAAAATATTTTAATAACTAAAGTTTTATGAATTCCGATACTATGGGAAATAATTTTAGTTTTTTATATATTAAAAATGTAAAGAGCATTTTAAACATAGTTTCTTAAACAAAAGTTTTTTTTTTTTTTAATTTCCCAGCTAATTAAATACTTAGAGGACTTATGAGTAATTTTCATGTTCTGATCGCTTGTATATATTCCAATAGAATTTTTTTTTGAAAAGCTATTTTACTTTAAGCCCTAAAGAGATGCTACCAAAGGACTTCTTGTGGAAGCTATTAACTCATAATTTGAGAGGGTTTTCTCATTTTCTTCTTTAGTGATGACAGGCTTTGAAACTAATAATAAATATGATGTTAAAAACAACTTGGACCAGATGGTTTACATTGTAAATGAAGATACGGATGACTTCACCAGGAATGCTTATCGGACACTGAGGCCCTTCGTCCTCCGGGTCACCGAGTGTATGGGCAGAGAAATCATGACAATGCAGAGACCCTTCAGATGCTCCTGCTGTTGTTTCTGTTGTCCCTCAGCCAGGCAAGAGGTCAGAGACAGAGTCTTACTCATCGTATCATGCTACTCCCACTCTTCAGGACATGGTTCCACTCTGTCCAGAAGAGCCCACTCAACTCACTGCCATGGAATTGATTCAGACTCATAACGACCCTATGTAGGGTTTCTTAGGCTGTAAGTATTCTAAGGAGCACAGAGACTCCTCTTTCACTTGAAGAGTAACTGCTAGATTTGAACTGCTGACCTTGTGGTTAGCAGCCCATCTCATACCCCCACTACGCTACCAGGACTCCAGAATAACACAAGGAAGCATTTTCAATGGCTTTGCCAGTCAGGATGGAAGGAGGTGGTGGGGAGGAAGGTCCTAGTCAGTGGGTCAATCTCAAATTAGGATATTGAGTCTAGGAACCCTGTTGGCACTGTAGAAGTCTCTACTAACCACAAAGTGGGCTGTTCAAAACCACCTGCCACTCTGGGAGAAAGATCAGGCTGTTTGCTCCTGTGAGGATTTCCTGCCTTGAAAACTTGTATAGGGTCACTATGAGCCAGCAGTTACTCATTGGCAGTGAGTTTCATTGTTGTTTTTGGTTAGTCAATGACAATTGACTACTGTGTTACTTATGTGTATACTGATTGAGAAATGTATATGCGTTGACAATAGCCATGCACATTGGTCTGAATATATCTGTGTATCTCTAGATAAGGTATGGCTTCAGCATAAATGTACCCTCTTAGCATTGGAAAGGATGGTAGTTACATTTATGTGACCTACACAACCTAGACCTTTCTACAGAAAAAGAGGCAAAAAAGATTAAGTGCCTTACGAGGGTCTCACATTGGATAGGTGTCAATGCTGGAACTTTAATGCAGATAGGCTTAGTTATAGTTTGGTTATTTTTATCACTGCAAGAAGATTTTTTGCTATAAGAGAAAAACACAACAACAACAAAAATCATTTTAGAGAGCGCAACCAATGTTTGATTTCTGATATGTCACCTGCTTGAATTTGTACAATTGACTTAATTTCTTTGAGCACAGGAGTTTTTATTTATAAAATGTGAAGAACAATGTTTCATTAGATTACTGGGAACATGGTAAGTACCATCATTTACCAAATAATATCCTATTAGATAATAATAGTACTTATCTAATAGGATTTCTTTTAAGATTACATGCTCAACTGCTTGGAACTGTGTCTACACATTATACACATATTCAGTGAATCAACCTTTATCCCTCAACATATTTATAACCACAACTACCTTCTTCCCCACCTTCATCTCTAATCTCTGGCAGCCATTAATCTTTACTTCATTTCTATAATTTTATTATTTCAGAATTTTATATAAATGGAATTATAGAACATAATCTTTAAGGATTTTTTTTCTTCACTTGGTGTAAATACCTTTAGATTCATCTAAAGTGTTGCATGCGTCAATAATTTTTTCCATTTTATGACTGAGTAGTGTGCTATAAGGTCAGTTTGAACCATAAGGTTGGCGGTTCAAATTTTCCAGTCACTCCTCAGAAACCCTATACAGGATTGCTGTGAGTTGGAATTAACTCAACAACACTTAACAATAATAACGAAGTGTACTATAAAGAAGCTCTGGTGAAACTAGCATAAACACTGAACTGGTAACCACAATTTTTGCAGTTCAAAACCACCAGCTGCTCCATGGGAGAAAGATAAGCCTTTTTGATCCCATAAAGTCTTACAGCCTCTGAAACGCTATACAAGGTCACAATGAGTCAGAATTGACTTGATAACAGTGAGTTTGTTTTTTAATTTGAGTATAAAATAGGAACTTATAAAATAATTATTTTTCTACAACCTATGAGACCTTAGTTCTAGGAAGCTATCAAATTAATATGTATGTGCTGTTGTATGAATATATGTGTATGAGCAATGCTGTCTTGATTTAACAACCAGTGAAGTTGAGTGGTCCTATATTATGATGATGAGCTGTTGTGGTTAGGTGCCACTGAGTCAATTCCAACTCATAGTGACTGCATGTCCAACAGAAACACTACCCCGTTCTGCACCATCCTCACAATTGTTACTTTGTTAGATCCCATTGTTGCTGCCACCATATCTGTTCATATGATCGTGGTCCTCCTCCTTTCTACTGACTCTCTAAATATCTCTAGGGACTTCTGCATCCTGAAAATATGTCCAACATATGTGAGATGAAGTCTCACCATTCTTGCTACTAAAGATCATTCAGGCTGTTCTTTCTCCAAGACGGATTTATTCATTCTTCTGACAGTCCATGGTACATTCAATATTTATCAACAACACCTAATGCAAATACATTAGTTCTCTAGTCTTCTTTGTTCAGTATGTAGCTTTTGCATGCATTTTTTGTTGTTGTCATTAGGTGCCATCAATTCAGAACCAACTCATAGGGACTCTATGCACAACAGAAGGAAACACTGTCCGCTCCCATGCCAACCTCACAGTCGTTGCCATGTCTGATCCTATTGCTGCTGCCACTGTGCCAATCCATCCAATTTGGAGGCTTCCTTTTTTTCTCAAACCCTCCATTATACCAAACATGATATCCTTCTCTAGGGACTGGTCTCTCCTGATAATATAGCCAAAGTATGAGAGACAAATCTGGCCTTCCAGATTTCCAAGGAGCATTCTGGCTGGACTTCTTCCAACACAGATCTGTTTGTTCTTTTGACAGTCCATAGTATTTTTTTTTTCAATGTTTTATTGTGAATTATGTGATAGTTTAAATGGGAGAACATTAGTTTTACATTCATTATATTTTATATCGTTTCATTGCCATGGTTACAATCCCCTCCATGCATCATCAACCAACAAAAGGTACACCCTGCAAGCCTGCCCCCACCCAGTCATCAGTATACAGCCCCTCTCCCTCCCTGGATCTCAAGTCCCCAGCTGCTCCATCTCTCCACGTCATCGTCTCTGCCTTCATCTCAGGCATCACTGCTTCTCTGGGTAGGGTCCTGCTCTCCGCTCTTCTCCATTGATGGTCCTAGGGACCTCCGCTCCTAGACTGAAAAGTTAATCACTCCCCTTCTTGCTATAAAATGTCTACCTTTACATTTCCAACCTTCCCAATCAGTCCTGATAACAATTATTCACTACTGTATCACAAAAGACCCGTCTGCATTTCATCAGCCCTGCCTAGACAGATTGGATACTATTCACTGGAGATTCTACCTTCCTCCAGGCCCTCTGGATCTAGGTTCCCTCTTGAAAGCTTGTAAACCAGTCACTTCTTGCCTTTGTAGCCCACCCCCACTCCCATTTTGGGTGGCCAATGTCCAAGTTGCCCATCCCTGTCTACTCTGTGTGTGGAGGGAGTGGAAATGATTCTTGCTGTAAGGATTTGTTTCCTCTTTTGAGCTACTGCATCCATAGGTGTAGGTCAAGTTCATCAACTTGTATCAGATTACGCTTTTTTTTCCTTGTCTTTCTTCTTCTGGTTGAGCTCTGATCATCCAGTCATTGAAGCCAGGTCAAGTGGGCATTATCTACAAGTGTGGGTGTTCTTGCACATATCTCTTCTCTTCTTATCAGCTGGACACTTCACTCTCCACTCTAGTCCTCTGTGGCTGTGTCACTGACTCTGTGCCCTAGAGTCCCCAGGTCTTGCCACACTGCTGGCCGACCAGGTCTCCACCCGGGTTCAAACTAGTCTATTGAACATTGTAGTGCTTAGCTTGCCGCTTCATTGCTATTTTTCCCGCACTTCCCCTTATGGGTGACAAGCGTGGTCACCAATCAGAGCGTGTATTCCCATTGAATCTTAGTCTTGGAAGAGGGTTTGTCCTGAGGGGACCTGACCACTTGCCTTGATGTCTCCTGGGCAAGCAACTTGCTTGTTCTTGTAGTAACAGTTGGTCTGCCTCTATTGTTTTGTATTTTTCCTGTAGTTCTTTCTTTCAAGAAGTATCTTCTGTTCTTCTAGTTGCTCCAGGCTGGTTTGCTCATCCTTTCAAGTGGAAATTTCCCATCTCTGAAGATCTGGATGTGGTTCAGACTTCTACCTATAGTCTTATGTAATGCTGAGGCTCCGCAGGAAGCCTTCTTCACTGGGCACATTGTAGCCCCATTTTAGGTATTCCAATCAGTTATAGGCAGAAGACAGTCCATAGTATTTTAATATTCTCTTCCAACACCATAACTCAAATGCATCAATTCCTCTATGTTCTTCCTTATTCACTGTCGAACTTTCACATACATATGAGGTTATTGAAAATACCATGGCTTGGATTAGGCACGCCTTAATCCTCAACCTGACATCTTTGCTCACGAACATTTTAAAGAAGTCCGTGCAGCAGATAATGTAATGTCATTTTCATTTCTTAACTGCTGCTTCCATGAATGTTGATAGTGGATCCAGGCAAAATTAATTCTTGACAACATCAATCTTTTCTCCATTTATCATAATGCTATTCATTGATCCAGAAGTTAGGATTTTTGTTTTATTAACAATGAGGTGCAACTAATACTGAAGGTTGTGGTCTTTGATCTTCATCAGTAAGTATTTTAAGTCCTGTTCACTTTCAGCAACCAAAGTTGTATCACCTGCATATTGCAGGTTGTTCATAAGTCTTCCTCCAATCCTGATGCCACATTTTCCTTCATAAAAGCCAGCTTCTATGATTGTGTACTCAGCATACACATTGAATAAGTGTGAAAGAATATAACCCTGGCACACACATCTCCTAATTTTAAACCATTCAGTATTCTCTTGTTCTGTTCAAACAATTGCCGCTTGGTCTAGGTATAGGTTCCTCATGAGCATAATTAAGTGTTCTGGAATTCTCATTCTCCCCAATGTTGTCCATAGCTTGTCATAATCTGCATAATCAAAAGCCTTTGCATATTCAATAAAACAAAGGTAAGCATCTTTCTGGTATTTTCTGCTTTCAGTCAAGATCCATCTGACACCAGCAATGATATTTCTCATTCCACATCCTTTTCTGAAACTTGCTTGAACCTCTGGAAGTTCTCTTTCATTGCATGGTTGCAGCTGTTTTTGCATTATAGTTAGTAAAGTTTTACTTGCATGGGAGATTATGGGTATTATCTGATGATTTCTGCATTCTGCTGGGTCACTTCTCTTTGAAATGGGAACAAATATGGGTGTCTTCCAGTCAATTGGCCAGGTAGTTTCTTCCACATTTCTTGGCATAGTTGAATGCTACATCAGTTTGCTGAAAGCTTTCAATTGGTATTCCATCAACTCATGGTGCTTTTTTCTTTGCCAATGTCTTCAATACACTTTGGACTTCTTCCTTCAGTATCATTGACTCTTGATCAATGCTGTTACCTCTTGAAATGGTTGAGCATCAACCATTTCATTTTGTGTACAATGACTCTGTATATCCCTTCCATCTTTTGATGTTGTCTGCATCATTTAATATTTTGCCCATAGAATCCTTCAATATTGCAAGTCTAGAATTGAAGTTTTTATTCAGTTCCATTAGCTTGAGAAATGCTAAGTATGTTCTTCCCTTTTGGTTTTCTAACTCCAGGTATTTGTATATTTCATTATAGTATTTGATTTTGTTTTCTGAAGCTACCCTTTGAAATTTTTTATTAGGCTATCTTATCTCCTCAGTTCTTTGATTTACTAGCATCTCTACACTGGAGAGCAAGTTTCAGAGTCTCTTCTGACACCCTTTTTGGTCTTTTCCTACTTTCTTGTCTTAATGTCCTTTTGCTTTCTTCCTATAGGATGTTCTTGATATCATCCCACACTTCTTCTGGTTTACTGTATTTAGTCTAATGCATCAAATCCGTTCTTTAGATTATCTCTAAATTCTAGTAGTATATGTTCAAGATCATATTTTGGCTCTCTTATGCTTGTTTTAGTTTTCTCCAACTTCAGCCTGATCTTGCGTACGATAGTCTGTTCCAGAGTCTTCTCCTAGCCTTGTTTTGGCAGATTATCTGGAGTGTTTCCACTGTCTTTTTCCACAAATATAGTCAATTTGATTTCTGTGTATTCCATCTGGTGAGGTATACTCATCTTTTATATTGTGTAAAAAAGATTATTTGCAATGAACAAGTCATGGTCTTGCAAAATTCTATCATAGGATCTCCAGCATCATTTCTATTACTTAGGCCATATTTTCCAATGACTGATCCTTCTTCTTTGTTTCCAACGTTTGCATTCCAATCACCAGTAATTATCAACATATCTTGATTGCATGTTTGATCAATTTCAGACTGAAGAAGTTGGAAGCCTTTTTCAATTTCATCATCACTGGCTATTGTGTGATTGGTGTGTAAATTTGAATGGTGGTAATAACTGGTCTTCCTTGTAGGCATATAGGCTTTATTATTTGCTCTATGACAGATAGTGTTGTACTTCAAGACAGAGCTTGATACGTTCTTTTTGATGATGAATGTGATGCCATTTGTCTTCAATTTGTCATCCCAGCATAATAATCCATGTAATTGTCAGATTCAAAATGGCCAATATCAGTCCATTTCAGCTGACTAATGGCTAGGATATAATTGTTTGTGTGTGTGTTCATTTCATTTTTGACAATTTCTAATTTTTCTAGATTCATACTTCATACATTCCATATTCTGATTATTAATGGATATTTACAGCTATTTTCCTTCATTTTGAGTTGAATTCCATCTTCAAATAAAGGTCCCAAAGGCTTTACTCCATTTGCACCATCACAGCTAACTACTTTGAGGCGGCAGCTCTTCCCCAGTCATATTTTGAGTAACTTCTAACTTTAAGGTTGTATAGCTTCCAGCACTATATTTTACAAGATTCTAGTGCTTTTCACCAGGTTTCAGTATTCCATATTCTGGTGCTGACAGTGTTCCACTGCTATTCATCAGGATTTCAGTGACTCAATATTCTGAAATAGTCTGCTTCTCCTTCTTCCTAGTCTGTCTTTGTCTAGAATCTCAGCTGAAACCTGTCCACCATGGGTGAGCCTGCTGGTATTTAAAATACCCATGACATAGCTTCCAGAATCACAGTACCATGTACGTCACTACAGTACGACAAAGTGGCAAATGAGTGGTAGTGAATGCATATGAGACTATGGAAAATGACATGGGTCAGGCCCAACTCAGTTCTCAAAGTGATATCTTTGCTGTTTAACACTTTAAAGGTATCTTACAGCAGATTTTTCCAGTGCAATGTGTCATTTGGTTTCTTGACTGCTGCTTCTATGAGTATCAATTGTGTGTAAAATGAAATCCTTGACAATTTTTATCTTTTCTCTGTTTATCATTACGTTATTGGTTCAGTTGTGAATATTTTTGTTTCCTTTGTATTGAGGTGTAATACATACTAAAGGCTGCGCTTCAAATCCTGTTAGCTTTTGTAAGCAGGGTTGTGCTGTATGTGTACCTCAGGTTGTCAATAAACCTTGCTCCAATCCTGACAACTTAGGGACTGAAATTTTTAGGAAAATTGATATGATACCATAGAAATGGTTAGAACTTTTGGATTGGGACTTAATCTGTATACTCTTGTTATTATAAAATAGTAATATCTTCATTGTGCCTGAAAAAATATTACATAGACAAACTAAAATAAGGTAGCAGATAATATTTTGTAAATCTTAAATGGCTTTATGTACACACACTGTTGGTTACACAATATGTAGCTTTGGAATGCCTCTTTCCTCTTTTTTGTCTTTTAGAATTGTCAGGTCTGAGATTTGATTTTAACCTTATTAAAAGTTATTCAGTTACTTTATTACTCATTCATGGACTCTGTCAGCAAACAAGAGCCTCCTAGATCAAGACAAAGGATTGGATTATGGCACAGAGAGCAGTATGAGCATCACTGAGTCTGTATCCAGTCCCTTAACTCCTAGGTTCAACTTGAAAAAGCTCTGGTGACTGTTACTTATGCAGTTCAGGGACACTGAGCTTGAAGAACTGGCCATTTTACAGCAAACAGTAATCAATCAGTCCTGCTTTGCCCCAAAGCAAGACATGACTTCATCCCTTCAGGCTGCTCACTGCACAGATACCCCTGAGAAATAATACAAGTGAAGACTGTTCAGGGTTTTGTATTCTTGGCACATCCAAAAAGTCATCTAGTAGTGAGAGAGAGCCAAGGGACTTTTATCTGTCTCAATAATTATCTCCTTATTCCTAGCATGATTAAGAATGTTTCTAGGTTGTGTGTATATGCTTGTTTGAATATACTATGTATGGTATGTGTGTATAAGATGATGTATATATATGTATATAGGTATGTAACATCCTGTGCTCTGTCCTGATTTTGTTTGCAGATGGAGGTACAGTGTCCTCCAGGCATAACCATTGGTTATGTCGCAGAACACTGGAACTTGTTCAGGGCAGTTTACAGCATCGAAAATGAGAAGAAAGAGAATGTGTTGGGAGTGTATGGACCATGCTCAACCTATGGCTGTGGTTGGGATTCTGTCTTTGAGGTAATTTAATCTTAATCTGGGGTCCTCGTGCAGTGTTCTAGAATAAGCACTGGATCACAAGGTCAGTTTGAACAAGGTCGGTGGTTCAAACTCACAAGCTATTCCTTGGAAACCTTATACAGAGTCACCATGAGTAGTACTTGATGGCACTTGACAATACAACAACAGTCTTAATCTGGGGTCCTGGTATGGTGCTATAGGATAAGCACTGGGATACTACCTACAGTGTCAGCAGTTGAGACTCACCAGTGGCTCCTAAGAAACCCAACATATGGTTCTATGAGTTCAAACCAACTCGAAGTACATAACAGCAATCTTAATCTAGAAGCCCTGGTGGCACAATGGTTAAACACTAAACTCCTAGCCTAGTGGTTGTGGGTTCAAATCCACCAGCTACTCTGCCTGGAAAAAGCGTGGCAGTCTGCTTCCGTAAAGATTTACGACCTTAGAAACCCCGAAGGGCAGTTCGTCTCTCTGTCTTATAGGGTTGCTATGAGTTAGAATTCAACTTGACAGCAATACGTTTGGATTTTTGGAATATTAATCTAATCTTTTCTACACATATGCATAGACCCCACAATAATTTGAATTTACATTTTTTTTATGTGAATGAAATATGGTTTACAAAATCACTTATGAAGTAGATAAAGTAGTACCAGTTGACATCAAATGATTTCCAAATTATTTGTTTATCTCAAATACCTTCTTTAGACAGCATAACAGACGACTGTACACATGGGCCTCGCCAGATGGAACACATAGAAATCAAATTGATTACATCTGTGGAAAGAGAAGATGGAAAAGCTCCATATCATCAGTGAAAACAAGGCCAGGGGCAGACTGTGGTACAGACCATCAATTACTGATATACAAATTCAAACTAAAGCTGAAGAAAATGAAAACAAGTCCATGAGAGCCAAAATATGACCTTGAATTTATCCCACCTGAATTTAGAGACCATCTGAAGAAGAGATTTGATACATTAAACACTAAAGATGGAAGACCAGAAGAGTTGTGGGATGACATCAAGAACATCATACATGAAGAGAGCAGAAGGTCATTAAGAAGACAAGAAAGAAGGAAAAGTTGACCTTTTGGATGCCAGAGGAGACTCTGAAACTTGCTCTCCAGCGTAGAGAAGCTAAAGCAAATAGGAGAATTGAAGAGGTCCAAGAGCTGAACAGAAAATTCCAAAGATCAGCTCGAGAAGACAAAACCAGGTACTATAATAAAATATGCAAAGATTTGGAACTAGGAAACCAAAAGGGAAGAACACAGTCAGCATTTCTCAAGC